AATACCGATAAACAACCTGAAGAACAAGTTGTAACTGGTGAAATTAAACAAAAAAAAAAAAAACTTGAATATTTATTTATTAAATGAAATTATTTTCATCTTTTTAGCGGCTCCTGATGTTGTTGTTAAAACAATAAATGAAAATTGGGAATTTATATTACTTGCTTGTGATGGTATTTGGGATGTACTTAGTAATGAAGAAGTTTTAAAATTTGTTCGAACACGAGTAGCTCAACAAATGCCACCGGAAAAAGTATCAATAGATTTCTTTATTTCTTTATTCTTTTTGAAACCAAAAATATAATCTGACATGTTGAGATTTGAAATAGGGTAAACATTTTTTGTCTCTATATCCTATCCTGCAGGATACGTCTGGTACTTTGAGTGAAAATGGAGAATTTTCAGTACAAGGCAAGTCAATGAATCATGTCCTGCAGAGTAAGGAGTTCTGATTTGAAACAAATATTTATTATCTTGTTATTTTTTAACTTTCTAAACAATGATTTAAAAAAAGAAAGATGCTACTCATGTCTATATGAGAGTTAAAGAGAGATGAGCGTAATCTTAATAACTCGGCAATGGCAGCAGCTAGTGACCTACAGTTTTCAGCAGTCGAAAGAGGAGAACTCTGAGCGTTTTATTTATCTGATACTATATAAAAATAAGCATCTTCACAAAATATTCAAAAAAAGAAATGATATTCCATTTGATTTTGATATGTGCTTTAGATCTATAGTTTATTGATTTTTAGTAAATTTTTTGACATTTTGAGAAGATGTTTGATTTTTAATATAACTTTGTTTTATATAGTATCAGGTCAAAACATACCCGGAGTAGCAGCAGATCATTAACTGTTGTCGTTGTCGAGTTATTGAACTGATATCTATTCGTCTTTAACTCTGACACGAACATTAGTTCTATCTAGCATAGGATACATTCAAGTCAATGATCTACGGAAGTAATTTACATACACTTTTTAATTCTAGGATACACAATTCCGATAGAAAAGTCAATCGACATTGTTAAATTCGAGCTAATTTCAATTCTAAACAACCTTGATGTTGTTCATCTCTATTCAATAGAGATTAGATGAGTATTTTATTGAAGCTTAACAGCTATAAGATGATAGAGGAAAGATTAATAACAAGGTATTTATATCAAGATTTCATAGATAAACTATGATTACCAACTTCGTTTTTTTTATTTTCTATGTTAAGTATATAGATGTCCTCTATCTAATGAGCACAATTTAAGAGGATCTTTTTACATGTTAAAAACTCAATTTTATGCTAAAAAAGCCAAAATAAAATGCAACTTTCTTTACGTTTTTCTCAAAAGCAGATTTTCAAATTAAAAAAATTGAAGTTTTCCTCCTTTTTTCCCTAAACAGTAAGGCCTATTGGGCATCAAACTTTTTTTTCTAAGTACTTCGATCAAATCTGGGTGTGTCTTTGTTTTTTTCTTTTGAAAATATTATATCGATTAAGTTTTGTAGATCTTACAAAATTACCACCATCCACAAAAAAAAGGCTTTTTTTAATGATTTTTTTATAGTATCTCCAGTGTTTTGCTCTCCTGAGTCTCAGGTACAATATTTTTCAAAGAAAACAAAAAAGACACATCCAGATTTGTTTCTAGTTACCATACAAAAAAAAAAATTTCAGCCCTAAAAAATGTCGTGTGGCCTCTTTTGCAAGGAAGAAAACTTCAGGCCATTTTTAGCCTGTCAAAAGCTTCCGCTGTATTTTGGAAAGGAAGATTTCCTTAAAGAAAACAAAATGAGAGGTGACTGCATTCTTCACCATCTTTTCCTTTGAGATTTTTATTAGTATCAGAGATTTTTCTATCGATAAAATTATTATCTATTATAAGTATGATTAGTTCGAAGTATCAAAAAAAATTTCTACATATTAGATTTGCGAAGAATTAATGACACGTTGTTTGGCACCGAATTGTCAAATGGGTGGTCTTGGTTGTGATAATATGACAGTTGTATTATGTCTTTTACTACATGGTGAATCTTATTCAACATTAGCAGCTAAATGTTCGAAAAATATTTCTAATGGAGATATATCACCATCGAAATGAAGGTAAAAAAAACGAACATATGTTGTTTTTTTTGTTTTAATAATATTTAATTTTTAGTTCCTTCACACAAATAAATACGTAAACAATTTGCGTTCATCTTTTTTTTTTTTTCTTTGATAATATAACTGTGTTCCATCATTGTAGAACAGTATTCATTACTGTATTTGTGAAAAAATCAAAAAACAAAAAAAAAAACAAACGTGCGTTCCTTTCTTCTTTCTCTGTTTTCCTATAAAATGCACAGGTATTTATACTGTAAATTGATTTTTATGCAAACGAATATGTGTATGAAGTTATTCTCTTAATATGCTACCCTTTCTTCTTTTTTTTTTATCTTTTCATGGGTGATTAGGACTGAAAAAAAAGTGTTGCCTTTGTATACATTGTCCAACTCTTCTTCTTTTTTTTTTATCCATTGTATTATAAATAAGTGGTTGAGAACACAAACAAACACAAAAAAAAGAAAAGTGAATTCATTTCAAAAAGAAAAATTTCAAGGTTTGGCTGATTTGTTCATTTAATTCAATTGCATTAACTAATCACTCATGAAACTAATAAATCTATTTTGCAGATATGATGAATGAATGCAATTTAATCCAAAGTAGGAAATTTGTTTAATTATAAAATATTTTCTATTAGAATTAAAGATGTTCATGTATCCGATATTACTTGATAACTAAAACGATGGAACTAGACAAGTCGAATAAAGAACATTATGAAAAATATAATTTTTTTTGTTTTAAATTTGTTTAAATACAATCGTTGTCTAATGAAAAGAATTAATTTTTGTATAGAATTTAACTGAGATTTGAAGGTGTGATTGTGGATCATGAAGTTTATTTATGTATCGATAATAACTACAGAAGAGAAGAGTAGTTAGTTTTAATTGTTTACTAATGATAAAATACTTGCGGATTGTATTTTTGATGGATACTTTCAAGGATAGTCAACCGCAAAAAATACAAAGTTCTCAGAAGTTTTTTTTTTTGTCTTTAAAGCTCGTTGTGCTGATAATTTTAATACAAAAAAAGATATTCAAATTTACTCAATAAATTATTTTACTAGGATAAAAGCTGTTAACCCAATCCTTGCGGGATTAAAATATGAAACATGATCTAGATATCGCTTCTAATCCTCTGAAAACTGGTCTTTTATATGTATATTGGTGCGTATTTCTCCGTCATTGCTTATTTTAGAGTATAGAACTTCAATAAGCAAATACTCTATATATATATATATATATATATTCCAATTAGATGTTAGTTATACATTGATCTCCGATAGCTCCTTAAAGCTGTCTGTCACGCTCTGTGGAAGCAATGGGTCCAAATTTTTACCCTATATATTTCAACATTCCTTTTGCATCGTGTTTCACAAAATATTCCTGATTGCTGATGAGCGGTAGTTGACGTCTTCGAGTATTTTAACCCTAGCAATATGATTTATTGAGTAAATTAGAATATTTTGGTTTTACTAAAATGATTAGCACAACGAGCTATACAGACAAAGAAATCTGCTGAGAACCTCGTGTTTTTTGTGGTTCACTACCCATAGAAATATCCAGCAAAAATACAATTGTCAAACATTTTGTCGTTGGTAGTATATTTATCTAGGCTTTTTTCATAGTCTTATTATTCTCTACTTTCGAAACGTTTGAAAGCGTACATCATTATTCAATACTCACATCTAATTTGAATCGCTCTATTATAAGAAGAACGACTACATGATTGACTCATGTTATCTGTATAATCAACGTACTCCGTTAGTCTTTACTGGTGCATATCTCAAAGATGGGATGTTTCATATAATGTTGTCTACTTATAGTTGTATGATGAAACTATCTGTAGTCCGCACAGACTTCAGATGGTCATGTCAGGATTAATATTTGAAAAATCTAATACAACTATTCATGATGATCATGCAACAAAACGTTTGTAGAATCTTTTTTCATGCAATCAAGACTACAACGTAAACAGATTTTCACAAAAAAAATAAAATAAAACAACAACGAAGTTTGTAAAATATGCGGTTCATTGTTTATCACAGTTTTATTGACAACTAAATTTTGAGAAGGGATCTACAATAAAAAAAAAACTCGATGATTTACGAAGATAAGAATGCTCATCGATTGTCTCCATACATAGAAATTGTATGAGGTCTCAGTTTTCCTTCATATATGGTTACAGAGATGCATGGTAATAATACTGACTTTGGTGAAGTGTCAAAGTATGATTGTATAGGACGCAACGTGGTTGCTGCCAAGTGTATACATTCTTTGACGTAAAGATACATCATAATTACTATTTCATTTCCATTACTTTAATTAAAGTGAATACAAAATATATAAATCAATCATTTCAAGCAATCAATTTTATAGATTTGCACTAATTGACAGAGACAAAACTAGACTATCTACTCATTTTATTATAGTTTAGAAAGCATATTGTTTTCAAAGTAGATTAAGATCATTTTTATAACCAATGCTGTATCTCAGAAGAAAAGCAACTGGATTTTTTTGTGGATTTTATAAAAAGATGTGGTAATGTTGATTCTAGATAGTCTTGAAAATCCGAGTCATTTCTCTCTTTTTGTTTTAAAGTTGTTGAAAAAATGTCCACGTCCATTTAACGCTAAAATGGACATTAGTCAAGGAATAAAAATGCCAAAAAAAATCAAGTATTTTTACTAGTTTTACCTAGGAAGCCGAAACTTTGGAAAATTAAAAATCTTGATTAGATATATATATATATATATATATATATATATAATGTTTCATGATTGTTCGTCTTACCGTTTCCGAAAAAAACCGGAAAGGGAGTCCCTTAAGAAAGATTTACAAGTTAAGTCATGAAAAATTTGTATAGAAATTATTCTCGATATTTTATTCTTGAAGTATCTTTAATATCTTGTCAATGTTTACTCATGTTATCCGACGTTGTTTTATATCTTGTCATATTCGACGATCACTTTCAATAGTTCCGAACAATTCTACAGTACCTTCATCATCCATACGTATTTGTTGTATTGTTGGCAGTGGTCCAGCTGGTTTTTATTTAACACAAAATTTACTTAAACTCAATCAAATAATACCAACAACAATTGATATAATTATAATTTACAAAAATAGCTGAACATGAACGTGTACGTTTTATTGGAAATATTCATATTGGTAAAACGATTGGATTAAAAGAATTACAATAGTTTTATCATATTATTGTTCTTGCTTATGGTTCATCTGTTGAACATAATTTACATATATCTGGTGAGACAACATTAGAAAATGTTGTTTTTTTCTGCTAAAGATTTTGTTGGATGGTATAATGGTAAGATGCAAAACAAAAAAAAAACAAAATATTTTTTTTTCTAATTCATTATTAAAAAAAAAAATACGAAAAATATTTTTTCAAATAGGTGTACCAGAAAATGCTCTATTGTACTGGTTGGATTGGACGAAGAGCTTGAGGTGTTATTGCTGAAACTACAACAGAATGTATGATAAGTTTAAATTCCATTATTAATTTATTATTTTAATATTTTAGCCCATACAATTGCTAAAAGAATTATCTAAGATATTGAACAAAATCATTTGACTAATTTACATGAGATCAAATCAGGAGGTGATGGTTTAATAGCACTTGCTAAATCTCGTCAAATTCGATGTATTTCATATGAAGATTGGAAAAAACTAGATGCACATGAAATAAATCTTGGTCATGAAAAAGGAAAACCACGTGAAAAGATAATCAATATTCAAAAAATGCTTGAATTAACTACATCTTAAAAGAAAAAAAAGAGCTCGAATTTAAATACTTTATGCATCTGAGCACTTGTTAGACTTTCTTTTTTGTTTTTTTTTATCTTTCAGATAATACTTTGTTGATTGACAGTACATCAAATAAATAGTTACTTTTCTAGTGATTAATATCTTTATTTCAGACAAAAACATGTTACGTTTAATACCTTCGTTCATTCGACAATCATCTTTTTTAATATATCGTTCAGCTAGTCGATCATCAAATTCTCGTTCACATAATGAACCTCGTGTTCGTCTTCATCCAGGAAATCAATATACAATTGAAGAAATTGCTCAAAATATTCACAAAGAACATAAAAATGAAATTGAAAAATTATATGAATTTGAAAAACTTGAAATTAATAATCAACCTTCAACACGTGATGAATATCGTCATCATATCAATCGTCTGTATTCGATTATTTTTCTTTCTTATTTGTAGACAAAAAAAAACTTATTGCTTATTTTGTTTTTTTTTCTCTTCTAGGTGGAAAAAAAAGGTGTATTTGATTTAGACAATATTGTTCAAATACTTTGTGATGAACGTATGAAAGATATATGTGTTATTGAAATTCCACCAGAACAACAATATGCTCGATATTTAATATTAGCTACTGCTTTTACTGCTCGTCATTTGAAAAGTACAAGTGACTATATTAATAAATTAGTAAGGAAGAATACTTCAAATGAAAATGAAAATTTATACAGGATGTCTCAAAAGTTATTATACAAAAGAAAAACTTCGAATATCTCTGCCGTGCTTTGATCATAATGATAGTTTGCTTTTTTTAATTTCTAAAAAAAACAGCAAACTATCATTATGATCAAAGCACGGCGGAGATATTCGAATTTTTGTTTTGTATAGTGACTTTTGGGAACACCCTGCACATATAAATATTTATTGTTTAGTATAAAGCTAAAAAGAAACCAAGTGATCCTTAGTTAAGTAATGAATATTGTGATGGTACAAGATGGCATCCTATGGATATGGGTAAGTTTATAGAAAAGAAAATTGTCAAATTAATTTTTGTTTTTATTTCTTAGGTCATCTTGTTTTACATTTAATGGATGCTGAAATGCGTGAACAAAATGATCTTGAAACATTATGGTGTGTTGGTCCAAAATATGATGATCAAGTACATACAATACAACAATCATTAGATGCAATTAAAAAAATGGATGAACAATTAAAAGAAGAAGTATTAACAGTTGCTGATAAGTATGGACCACTTGATAATCCATATTCACATGTTCGATATCCACTCGAAGGTCCAGGACTATTTCAAGATCCACCATCACGAAAACATATGACATTAGGTGATCTTCCACATCAAAAAATGTAGAAGAACAAACAAATATTGAAGTTGAAAAAGAATTTATTGATTTACCAAGTGATCCAAAACCACCGGTTAATAAAAGACAAAAAGTTAATTGAATTTCGTTCATTTTTTTGTGGATATTCTTTCTTTTGTCAATATAAATAAACGATAGAAAAAAAAAACATTATCATCAGCATAAAGACATCTTAACTGCTATTTCAAATATTCAGAAAAATTGGACTATGTATACTTGTTTTTCACAATTCGAGTAACTTTGCTAAGATCTCCAAGAAAATCACGACAAAGGAGGAGGGCGGATAAGGCCAATTTTTTAAACTGCTTTAGGATTAATTTATTTCTATTAAGTTTGAATATGGAGTGACTCCTGATTATTTATTTGAGGTTTATTTCGAAAAAAATGACGTCGTCAATTTTGGTCCCTGGGGTCACCCCCAGGTATCGTCGAAAAAAAAATTTCGCTTTTTGTCGATCGAAGCTAGATATTCCTATACATTAAAGTGTACTGATTACGAATATCATAGTAGAACCTTCAAAAACTCCTTTGTTCTCTATATAGTCCGGACCATAATTTAGGCCCTATTTTTCATTGTTGGGCCCCCCGTACAAGAACCTTTCTTCAAACCTTAGTGGAAAATATGTTTTCTAACTCAAAATTTCGTGCTCTATACGAATCTGAACTTTTTACTGCAAAAAATAGTCATCCTCAAATTAAAAAACTGCGATTTCGGGGTAGAAAATGGTCATTTTTTATGTAAATAGGTATTTATCTTCCTATTTTGTCATGAAAGGAATTTAGATGCAATGTCAAATTTTTACCATTAGGGTAGTTTTTTATGCTCTATCGATTGGTGATGTTAAAAATAAAGAAAAAATTGTGCAATAGGATCAGAGATCTTAGATATGGTGAAATATCAGATTTTTCGCGAGTTTTATTTGTATTTAACTATACAACATCATGAAACCATACTTTTCATAATAGTATACTAAGACCACTCAAGTCATTGTTCAAGTATTATTTACTGACACTAAATATGATCAGCTATCATATCGTCCGTTATGTGCAAAATCTAGACTAAAACGAATCTCATGGTGGAAAAGATTGCGGGCAGTTAGCACGCGATTTTGAATCAAGACGTGGTTATATCAAAAAGAGCACAATGGAAATTGTAGGATGGTTAGAATGAGAATCGATTGGTTTTTCAATGCGT